AAGGGCTTCTAGGAATTTAGTGCACTTAGCCCTTTTGTTCAGTTACATTAGGAGTTAAGTAGTCTTATACGTGGGCTGGGAAGCTAACCAATGGAGACAAAACATGAGAAATTCTGGACCCCGGGAAACAAACTGAGGACTGCAGAAGGGAGGGGGATGTGGGAATGGGGTAACTGGGTGATAGGTATTAAGGAGGGCATGTGATGTGAGGAGCACTGGGTATTATATGCAACTAATGAATCATTGAACACTACATCAAAAACTGATGAAGTACTAAATGTTGGTTAATTGAACATAATAAATAAAAAAGTTAAAAATAAAGAGTAAAAAAAATAAATCAGATAGTATATTTTAAACTTCAAGATACTGTCTTTATGAAGATTTATGAGAACATAACTCCTCTGTAAATTGGCATTTGTATAATAACCATGTTTTTACATTTGTACAATGATAACATTTACCTACAAGAAAGCAGAAGACTAATCTTGAAAATGGAAATATTTAGAACTTACAGATAAAATGATAAAGAGCACATGGTTGACTGAGGAGTGAGCCTAAGGTGCTGCCTTCAGGGAAGGCCTTTCTAGAAAAAGGAAAACCATGTGGAGAAAGAGGTCTATAATATCTTTTGTTGACCCAAACCATCTTTGAACTCACATATATAAAAGTCGTCAGCTTAGAGCTTAGTTACTGAAGAAATGAATATCCCAACTCAGATCATTAACAGTTCTACTGCTCTATACATTCCTCAAGGTGTGTATTTTTCAGTCTGCAAGACTGCAGAAAACAAAGTCGCAAAATTATTCACATTATCACCATGTTTTCATTGAAAACATCTTTGGAAATATGTGATGAATATGCCCTTTTAAACACTGAATAACCAAACTTAATGAAGATGAAATGAATATAAATTTCACACAGATTATAGGTTGTGATACTCTGAATAAGTATCACCTATATTTGCCCTTTTCTTAAAGGAATGCAGAGTGCTAATTAGGTCATAATCAGGGATTACTTTCAGTTTTCTTCCCATTTCAAGTTCTAAGAGTTCACTTTGTATTCCCCCCAATTTTTAGTTGGGTAAAATATCCCTTAGTCTTCTAGCTGTATGTTCAACATAAAATTCCATTTTAATGAAAAGTTCTCTACCACCCCCACAAAAATTAGAAATTTTAAATCTTATATGCTTTCTCTGAAGGCTGTAGAGATTTCTGTCCATTTTCATGAAAGTCATAATATTTCCAGCTGTGAAAAAATTTTAGAAAGAACTCTAAGATTCCCATCCCCTGATGTATAAGTTTCTTCTCCCAGTTATTCAAATCTATGTGCTGCTGTAAGGGAATTTTGTAGATATAATCAAGGTCTCAAGTCAGTGGGCTTTAAGATGAAGAGATTATCCTTGGTGGGCCTACTCTAATCAGGTGACACCTTTGAAAAGGACTAGTTAGTTCTACCTGGAAAGACAGAGAGATTCAAGATGTGAGAGATTTGTTTGAGGGTGATTCTCCATTGCTGGCTGTAGAGATGGAGTGGGCCACATGCAAAGAATGTGGGTGGAATCTAGGAGCTGAGCGAGGTCTGTGACAGCCAACAAGAGGACAGGGACCCCAGTTCAGCTTCAAAGAACTGAGCTCTGGGGCGCCTGGGTGGCTTAGTTTGTTGGGCGCCCAACTCTTGATTTTGGCTCAGGTCATGATCTCAGGGCAGTGAGATCGAGTCCTGTGTTGGGCTCCCCACTCAGTCCCGAGTTGGCTTGAGATTTTCTCTCTCCCTCTCCCTCTGCCTCTCCCCCTGCTCACAAGCATGCTCTCTCTCTCTTAAATAAATAAAAATAAATAAATAAATAAATAAATAAATAAATAAATAAATAAAATCTTCAAAGAACTGAGCTCTACTTATAACCTAAGTGAGCTTGGAATATGATCACAAATGTCAGATAAAATAGCTGCCCCAACCAACACCTTGATTTCAACCTTGTGAGAGCCTGAGCAGAGAACTCAGACATGACACATACAGAATTATGAGCTAGTTCATTTAAGCCGCTAACTCTGTGGTAATTTGTGGCAATAGAAAATTAATACACCAGTGTTTGTTTTATGATGCAAGCAGAAAAAAATGCATGAGCACCATGGTGCAGTGCATCTCTACTTACAATCAGGCTAGATTCCCAAGGCTCTACAAAGCCTATTTCTTTTCAAATCTAAAATGATATTATGCAAATCACTAGCAGGATCTCTCTAGAATGGAAAGTTGATGATGCATGTTTGCTTTCATGCATTTCTTGTTTGTATTCATAAAAGTGACACTGAGTTGAAAGTTTATTCATATAGGATTAAGTAGCTATGGTTTTAGCCTATGGCTCCTGAAGCTTTTGTAATTTGGCATTGTACACCTGATACTCCCCAGATGTTTTCTCAAAGGAAGAAACATTAACACTCCCATTCATTGGTCTCCATTCCCCACCCTCATGCTCACAGCTCTTGTATGGGATTTATAGATATGACTGCCACAGCACATGAAGCAGTGTGTCATTGGTTATTGAACCATTCTTCTGCTGAGAGTCCTACCGTTCAGTCTGTAACAGTGTGAGTTTGTGTGCATCTCAGTGGTGGGATATGATCTTCCTGTCATCTGCTTTCTTCATTTGTCCTAATCAGAGGAACTCTGCTGTGATGGGAAGATAGATTTCAAAGCTTATAAATCTCTTTGAGGTCTAGCTTTTCTTCTTTGGTTCTCTTATTGTTTTTGAATGACTTGAAGATATAGTAAGATTCTTGGAGAAAATGATCAAATAAATGAAGAATGAATGAATGATTGAATAGATGAATCTATAAATAATAAATCAATTGAAGAATTTTAACATGGACTCAGTGGAAAAGCCGTCTGGCACTGCAAAATAATAATAATAATAATAATAATAATAATAATAATAATAGTGCCCCAGGAGTTGAAGGCATGAATTTGAGATGACTGCTAGATCGGTTGTATCAAAGAAGTCATTTAATCATCTCTGGGCCTCAGTTTTCTCACCTGGGAAATGTGTTGAATTTTACAAGTAGCCTCTAAGTTATCTTTCACTTCTGAATTTAGGTTTGAAGCCACTTAAGAGGCTAAGTAATATTATACTCCATGGAGCTTCTGTTTGTTGTTATATTCTGGCACCTTAGCTTTTGTCCATTGAAAGACATGTTGCCTTTCCACAGCCAGTTGTCTAGATTCTTTTTAATCAGTCAATGCACACATTGTCAATATTTTCTATACTCAACAGAATTCAGATCTTTCAAGTTCCACTAGTTTTATAAGGTAAATGTATTACTTATGCCAAAACTATCATCTTCTTAACTATTTAGGTCCATAAACTGTATCTTTTGTGCTTGCATTTACATATAAAATATGTTTATATTCAAAAGAAAAAATCCCTATAAATCAACCAATATTTATTTAAAATTAATTCAGTGCAAAACATTGCACTAAATCTTGTGAAGGAAATATGAAAAATACCTTCTGCCCCCAAAGCTAAATTCTAATGAAAGAGATAAATAAAGTTGACTACAATGGCAAGTTGTAGAGAAGGAGCACTACAGAATGAGTTAGATGACCAGGATTTTTTAAGCCACTTGACTCTAATCAAGTATCCTCTCTCTCAGCCTCTGTTATTTCATAGGTAAATCTGGCATAATATCTGCCTCTCATGGATTTATAAAATTCCTACTCTTTACCAGGCACCTTAATGAATCTTAATAATAAAAATATGAACAACAATAGTCCAGCTCATTGAGGAGGTCACAGTTAAGTTTAGATTAATATACATGCAAACAAATACTTGACACAATATCATTAGTACTATTGTTGATCATAAGGTGCTAAGAAAAAAAGCAAAGAGTTATTTTTCTCCTCCTAAATTGTGGAAATTTCCTCTAACCCTGATGTGATAAAAATATAAAATATACAGCATCACATTTGAAGTAGTCTTGTCAAATGAATTTAACCAAAATCTAATCAAGTCTTTAGATCTGTTTAACTTTACAGGAAATGAGGGAGCTAGAAGAACAAATTAAGTGATATCATAAGAAAGCATTCAGACAAGCAAGAAGGTGAGATGTTCTAAAGGACAACCGGTTTGATTTCTTCAACAAGTCAATGTCATTAAAATTTTAAAATGAAACAGGACTCTTCTTTAAAAGACTTAAAAGACATAACAACCAAATATATTACATGGTTCTTGATTATGTTCTAACTTGTACAAACCATCAGTAAACATAAGGCAGATAAAAGAGGGAATTTGAAGATGGACTGGATAGTAGGAGATACTGGAGAAATATTGCTACTTTTTCGGAGTGTAATGGTATTATGGTTATGTTGGAAATACGCTGTTTATAATGGTGATTTAGTGAAAAGTCATAATGCCTTATTTCATATTAAAATATGGCAACAAAATGAATGAAGCAAAATGGCAAAAATATTAACAATTGATAAAATGATGTGATAAATACAGAGGTGTTCCACTATACTATTCTTTCTAAATTTCTATGTATCTGAAACACTTCATAATAAAGACTTAGAAGATAAAAAGTAAATAAGATAAGAGATTTGAAATCACTTTGTAAACTCTAAAAGGATAGGCAGAGAAAAGAGGGGGGAAAAAGTGCTGGAGGAAGAATAGTCATTTTATAAGCATGTGTGCTACTTTGGACCACACTGCTAAGAGAAGTCAGGACTGGCCACCACAGAGAGCCAGTGCCTCCAGAAATATAAATCGGGAGCAACATCATGGATTCTCAGATCCTGATCTTTTTAACACCTCCCTTCATACCAAGATGACCTTGATGAAAATTAAAGACAAATGGCTTCTTGCTGGGAAAGGTAGACAAAAGCAACTTGATCTTATCCAAAAGAAAACCAGAAAGGCTGTAACCATTACCATGTAAGAATAACTGGTGAGTTTTCTTTTTCACAGAACAGTAGGATTTGGCACCCAAAGCAGAGGTTTGAAACCATGGATGATTGCCCTTCTCATTGTGTTATTACTGACAGTGGTGGCAGTGACTATTGGTGTTCTGACTCACTTGTTAGTCTCTGGTAGGTAAAAATTATGGATTTCATCCAGTTTGGTTTCATTTTTCTGTAAACCTTCATTCGTATATATGTATAAGTAATTTCATCCAAAAACAGTTTTGTACTTTTACCAGCAAATGCCCACATTTAGAATTTTTTTAATTTATTCAGTAATTTTATTAAGAAATAATTACTGACTGCCTAATTATATATGAGTACTTTTCTGGATGACTCAAGATACAGCATTAAGTAAAGCAGACCAGTTTCCTCTCTACTTAGAGCTCACAATCTAGTATTCTTTTGAGATTCTATACAAAATATCAAAAATAATAACAAATTTACTAGCAATCATAACTCTAATAACTCAAGTGAAAAAATTTGATAAATTAGTTATTAAATAAGTTGGCTCATTTACTTATCATCTTATCCACCAACATTTCAAAGGCAAAAGAAAAACACGTCCAATGAAATAATGAATTTTGAAATAATTGGTAAACTATAGATATGACAGATTGTTGTTACTTATTTTTAGAGAAAATTTTATTCTTTCCAAAATGATATTCAGGTATTTTTAAATTGCCTAAATAAATAAATAAAATTGATATATTTATAATCACACAAATACTGCATTTTAGAATTCTTTCTAAATTGCATCATTCTCTGCACAAACTGCAAACCATTAACATTTTTTGACAAATCTCCACAGTGTCACTCACACAAAAGTATATGATAAAACAACTAGCTCAGGTTGCTTCCTTGAATGGTCTCATCTATTGTCATCTTCCACAGATTTGATGGGGAGTGATGAAGACTCTATCAGGAGCTTTAAAAGTTTTAAGGAACACAGTTCTGGGCTTCCTATGACAACCTCACCTGTAGTTTATGCCAATGGCCAAAGATTCTTAGGTCAGTTAATTTGACTGCATAGAAGCCCCTTTATTATGACTATAAGGTTTTATAACAATATGGATTGTAAATATCAGAGGGGCCAAAGAAGCACTCCTGAGTCCAAGATGTCCCACGTAGAAGATGTACTATCCTGAGATCCCTCTTTCTTTCCTAGGTCCATAACTGGGAAACCCATTTTATCTTCCCTGAGCCAGGCTCCTCAGGGAGAGATATTGTTCTGTGGTTGCTCCATTCTCTATCTTTAGTTCTTTGTAGCTTTCTTGGCCACCGCGCCCCCAACAAGGACATACTCCTAAGATTACCAGATTTCCCAGGAGTCTCCACTGCTCTCTGTTTTCTTACCTTTCCCAGTAGCCAAGCAGAGATCTGACCAATTCACCCTAGTTACACAGTGTTCTTACCTTCCACCTCTGATAGTTTTTCCCCTTTCTTTTCCTGTCTTTCTTACTGTTCCTAGCTCTCTGATTACAAATCAAAATTCACAAGGACGTTCATTTACATCTACTTCCAGTAGAGTATAAGGTGGTATACATTTCATTGTCCCTCAACAAGGGACAATATAGGAATTAATAGTTCTAGCTCTAGAGTCACACTGTCTAGGTTTAAACTCAGGCCACTTGCTAGTTATATAGCATGGAGCAAATTACTTAAAACCTCTGTGCCTCACTTACTTCACCTATGAAATGGAGGTAACACCAATCTTAGAGAGCTAGAACGAGGACCAAATGAATTAATACATGTAAAGTGCCCAGAACAACATTTGGCAACATAGTCCACACTAAAAAAATATCAGCTATTATTAACATAAAACATTAATCATTATTTTCATTAATATTATTATGAAACTAAATTTTTAAAAAATCTCATCAATAATTCAAGACTCTATATTAGCCCCATTATATTTGTTTATGCCTTAGATCCTGAAATCTATGCCCATATCATGTAATTTTCTACTTTTACTTTGTATCACAGGCCAGAAAATGGAGTATTATCACAGCACCTTTAAAATTTCAGATCTACCAGTCAATAGGAATTCTGGACAAAACAGCACATACCAACTTAAGGACTTACGGGAGATGAGCGAGAATTTGGTAAGTCACACAATATCCTTTCTGTTGTAAAATAATGTAGATGGAAGGGATTTGTGGATCATTTCCCTCAATATTTCACAAAAGATGATTTTTCAGACACTTGCATCAAAATCACCTTGAAGATTCCTAAGCGCCGCCCCCCCCCAGATTCACTGAATCGGTGTCTAATGAGATGGGTGGGCAGGGCTGAGGGAGTAAGGGAATCTGCATTCTAACAAACAATGATTCTGACAAGCCACTCTTTCTTACTCATTCATCTCATCTAAAGGTGAGAGAACTGAGGCCGACTGTATCACAGGCTATGGCTTCCCCCATTGCCCCATAATATCACCCAAATGGTAAAGTTTAGCCATATCAGAAATGGTCATCTGTAAACCCACATGCTTTTTTTGTAGGACCACATTTTAAGATTTAAAATATTTTAAAAATATATGAGAGAAGGAAAGATAATCACAAATATTCATTTTATCTCACAAACATGCTAATAATGATAAAATAGCCAGTGTAATGTTCAAATGCAATATAAATAATTTCGTTAAAACTAAAATACAGGATTGCCCCCAAAAAGGAAAAAGGAAACTCAGTTATATAATAGTTCTCCTCAGTATGTATGTGAACCATCACTCAAAAACTAAGCTCAGTTTAACTTCTTTGACAAGGAAGCATGTCAGTACAGTTATTTCAAAAGGGTAAGAATGGCAGATGTATCGGTTTGTTTTAGTAGTCAAAGAACCTTTTTTCCTTTCTTTCTCAAATCAATTTTCATGTTTTCATATCACCATCTGACCTTTATCCGTATGCATACTCAATTGCAACATACTTGCAATAATATCATGGAGTTTATAACCTATATTTTCAAGCCTCACTAAATGATGCATTTTGTTCCATCTTGCAGTCTTGTCCCTCCAAATTATTAATTAACATTTATAGGCTGAAATATATTCTTCCATTCTTTTGTATCTACAGCACCTTAGAAAACAGCATTTGCAATACTTTCTTGAGGAATACCACCAAAAAAAAAAATCTTGGATACATGCCCTAGTACTTCCTTTATCCCTTTAATCCTGAGTGACTCCACATAACTTCTTCAATATGAAAACAATAATAAAAAAAATCTGTCTTCGATGTACAAATTCTTTGAACTTGGGAAATGTTTACAGTAAGTCGAGAAAGTTTAAAATCTGTTTTCTTTATGTTTTATAGCCAACATTGTTGTTGATGTTTTAGGCTAACCAAGACATTGTCTTTACTGAAGTAAATGGAAAGGAATGCAATAGATCTTTTAAAAGGAAGTGAAGAAATGCAGAAGTGCTTTTATAATAGCAAAATTGTGTTTGAAAGTGGACTTTTAGGTTTCAGTAAAGCATGCATTTCTAGGAGTGAAGGAGCCTCAGGTGCAAAGGCTGAGTTAAATAATAACACATCATGAGCACAGGCAAGGCACTTCTCTGGTCATCATTATTTTTCTCATAACACATTCCCATTCACCTCACTTTGCAGGCAACCATTCTTTATTTCATGTGTATTCTTTTGTTTGCATTCATTCATTCATTCAAAAAATGCATTTTGTTGTTTTGTATGCACATGCTTTAAATTTATTCTTTGTGTTATAAATATATCAAAGTACCCGACACTGAATGGCTTATAAATACCAGAAATTTACTTCTCAATGTTTTGTAGGCTGGAAGTCTGAGATCAGGGAACAGCATGGTCAGGTTCTGGTGAAGACCCTCTTTCAGGCTGCACATTGCAGATTTCTAGGTATATCCTCACATAGCAGACCTAAAGGGCTCTCTGGGTTTCTTGTTATAAGGGCACTAACCCCACTCATGACCTAATCACCTCTCAAAGGCTCCACCTCCTAATACCATTACACTGAGGGTTAGCATTTCAACATACGAATTGGGAGGTGGGGGGCAAATATTCAGTCCATGGCATCACTTCTTGTTTCATACTTTTTTACTCAGATGTTTTTAAGCTCTATCCATGTTGCTAAATGTACATCTAATCCATTGCTATTGGCTGCCACAGAATGATTCATAGTGTGTATCTACCATATTTTACCTCCTGCCCATCAACCCAGGAAATGCTATACTAAACTGCCTCCTACTTGTCCCCTATGGACCTGTGGAAAGTTCTTCTGAAGGCAGAAATACTGGGTCATTAGGTGTGCATCCACTTAATTTGACTAATTAGTGCGAGATTGCTCTTCAGAATGGCTGAACCAGTGTACACTCTCATCAGCAGTGCATAAGAATTCCTATGTCATCTTTGCCAGCACGTGGTATTATTTGGCTTGCTGATTTCTGCCAGACTAATAGGTAATAAGTTATATCTTATTTGTGATTTAATTTACATTCTTCTAATTACTAATATGCTTGTGCACTATTAAATATGCTTGTTAGCTGAGTTTTCATTTTCTATTAATTTTATTTTATTATGTTATGTTAGTCACCATACATTACATCATTAGTTTTTGATGTAATGTTCTATGATTCATTGTTGGCATATAACACCCAGTGCTCCATGCAGTATGTGACCTCTTTAATACCCATCACCAGGCTAACCCATCCCCCCACCCACTTTCCTCTAGAACCCTCAGTTTCTTTCTCAGAATCCATAGTCTCTCATGGTTTGTCTCCCCCTCCGATTTCCCCCACTTCATTTTTCCCTTCCTATTATCTTCTTCTTTTTTTTAACATATAATGTATTATTTGTTTCAGAGGTACAGGTCTTGATTCATCAGTCCTACACAATTCAAAGGGCTCGCCATAGCACAAACCCTCCCCAGTGTCCATAACCGAGCCACCCCAACCCTCCCACCCCCCACCACTCCAGCAACCCTCAGTTTGTTCCCTGATATTAGGAGTCTCTTATGGTTTGTCCCCCTCACTGGTTTTATCTTGGCTGATTTTTTCCTCCCTTCCCCTGTGATCCTCTGTCTTGTTTCTCAAATTCCTCATATCAGTGAGATCATATAATATTTGCCTTTCTCTGATTGACTTATTTCACTTAGAATAACACCCTCTAATTCCATCAACATCATTGCAAATAGCAAGATTTCATTTTTTTGATGGCTGCATGATATTCCATTGTGTGTATATATATATATATATATATATATATATATATATATATATACCACATCTTCTTTATCCATTCATCTGTCGATGGACATCTTGGCTCTTTCCATAGTTTGGCTGTTGTGGACATTGCTGCTGTAAACATTGGGGTGCACATACCCCTTCGGATCACGACATTTGTATCTTTAGGGTAAATACCCAGTAGTGCAATTGCTGGGTCATAATGTAGCTCTATTTTCAACTTTTGAGGAACCTCCATACTGTTTTCCAGAGTGGTTACACCAGCTTGCATTCCCACCAACAGTGTAGGAGGGTTCCCCTTTCTCTGCTGCCTCACCAACATCTGTCATCCTGACTTGTTAATTTTAGCCATTCTGACTGGTGTGAGGTGGTATCTCATTGAGGTCTTGATTTGGATTTCCCTGACGCCGAGTGATGTTGAACACTTTTTCACATGTCTGTTGGCCATTTGGATGTCTTCTTTGCAGAAATGTCTGTTCATGTCTTCTCCCCATTTCTTGACTGGATTATTTGTTCCTTAGGTATTGAGTTGGATAAGTTCTTTATAGATTTTGGATACCAGCCCTTTATCTGATATGTCATACAATTGGTTTTGTTGACTGTTTCCTTTGCTGTGCAAAAGCTTTTCATCTTGATGAAGTCCCAATACTTCATTTTTGCCCTTGCTTCCCTTGCCTTTGGTGCTGTGTCTAGCAAGAAGTTGCTGCAGCTGAGGTCGTAGAGGCTGCTGCCTGTGTTATCCTCAAGGATTTTGATGGATTCCTGTCTCACATTTAGGTCTTTCATCCATTTTGAGCCGATTTTTGTGTGTAGTGTAATGAAATGGTCCAGTTTCATTCTTCTGCATGTGGATGTCCAATTGTCCCATCACAATTTGTTGAAGAGACTGTCTTTTTTCCATTGGACATTCTTTCCTGCTTTGTCAAAGATTAGTTGACTATAGAGATGAGGGTCCATTTCTGGGCTCTCTATTCTGTTCCATTGATCTATGTGTCTGTTTTTGTACCATAACCATATTGTCTTGATGATTACAGCTTTGTAATAGAGCTTGAAGTCTGGAATTGTGATGCCACCAGGTTTGCTTTTCTTTTTCAACATTCCTCTGGCTATTCGGGGTCTTTTCTGGTTCCATACAAATTTTAGGATTATTTGTTCCATTTCTTTGAAAAAAGTGGATGGTATTTTGATAGGTATTGCATTGAATGTGTAGCTTGCTCTAGGTAACACTGACATCTTCACAATATTTGTTCTTCCAATCCATGAGCATGGAACGTTTTTTCCATTTCTTTGTGTCTTCCTCAATTTCTTTCATGAGTATTTTATAGTTTTCTGAGTACAGATCCTTTGCCTCTTTGGTTAGATTTATTCCTAAGTATCTTATGGTTTTGGGTGCAATTGTTAAGGGGATCAACTCCTTAATTTCTCTGTCTTCTGTCTTGTTGTTGGTGTATAGGAATGCCACTGATTTCTGTGCATTGATTTTATATCCTGCCACTTTACTGAATTCCTGTATGAGTTCTAGCAGTTTTGGGGTGGAGTCTTTTGGGTTTTCCACATAAAGTATCATATCATCTGCCAAGAGTGAGAGTTTGACTTCTTTGATGATTCAGATACCTTTTATTTCTTTTTTTTGTCTGATTGCTGAGGCTAGGACTTCTAGAACTATGTTGAATAGCAGTGGTGATAGTGGACATCCCTGCTGTGTTCCTGACCTTAGGGGAAAAGCTCTCAATTTTTCCCCATTGAGTATGATATTCCCTGTGGGTTTTTCATAGATGACTTTTATGATATTGAGGTATATACCCTCTTCCCCTACATTCTGAAGAGTTTTAATCAAGAAAGGATGCTGTACTTTGTCAAATGCTTTTTCTGTTTCTATTGAGAGGATCATATGGT